CTCTCTCTCTCTCTCTCTCTCTCTCTCTCTCTCTCCTCTCTCTCTCTCTCTCTCTCTCTCTCTCTCTCTCCCTCTCCCTCTCTCTCCTCTCACGCAGCACGCTAGACTACACACCACAGCTACCGACCAGCCGGTCGCACTCACCCCTCGTGCGAGTTTTTCCCCATTGTTGTTGTTTTACGTGTTTAGCCTTTCAGCCCCCGATTTTCGGCCTCCGATTTTCAGCCTTCCGATTTTCGGGCCGATCCGGAGAGCGCGCGGCACGCGGCGGAGAACGAAGATATTTCGGCGGCAGAGCAGACATCGCCGACGACGCGCCGCGTACGTGCACTGTACGTGCCGCCGCAGTCGCCCCGTCTCCCTCGCACCCACGCGGGCCGTGCGGGCCGCGCCGTGGGTGCGACAGAGACGGCACGAGGCAGTGCGTTATGGCCCCGAGGTGCACATGTCAGCAATTACCCGGGCCTGCACCGTAAGGAGCGCAAGGCTGTGTAAATCACGAGGGTGGAGCGCGGCACGGCGCACCTTCCGCGGAGCCATTTAAATCTTTCGCTTCCGATGGCTTATTCCCCGGGACGTGACGACGGAAGGCGGGGCGGGGCGGGCGGGGCGGGGCGGGGCGGGGCGGGGCAAGGCGCATGTGAGCATACGTGGCGCGGGGCAATATAGCAGATAAGAGCCGTGCGCCCCCTGCCGCCCCCACCCCCGGCGAGACGGAACATGATTCGTGAAGTGCATGCAGATCAGGGCTCAGAGCGAGAAAGAGGAAAGGATGTGCGCGGGCCGCAGGGCCGCGGGGCCGCCAGGGCTCCGACCTGCACTGTCAACATTGATTTCGGCCCTTTTTCGGGCTTTGGAATCAATTTGCAAAGCGAGCTTCAATACGGTACAGTGCAACAATCGAAGCGCTCCAGTTGACCCAGTGGATGCGGAGACTAGTTTTGGAAGCGAGGGGCGCGGAGTCAACTCATACTTTCAGATTATTTTTTTTTATCCGAGAGTTGCTGGTGTCGGCCAGAATCTTAGTTTGGATGACTTCGCTCTTTCCAACAGGACCACGAAGGTGCTTGTCTTAATCTGACTGATTCAGTCGTTCCATTCGACAGGCCCGGGAGCACAATCGACACATGTTCATGATAGCTAGTGTATGCACTCCGTTTTAAATAAATATTTTAAAATTTTTATTTTTTTTTATTTTTTGGAAATCCTACATTGGGACTTGCAGTGCATGACGCAGGGCGCGATGAGGCGGGCAGGCCTTGGCAGGCAGAGCGAACCACCAGTGCTACCAACGAGACGCAAATATGATGAGTTTTGTTTCGGGCCAATTATTTTGTTGGCCGGCCCGTTTGCATGCGAATGGCACCGGATGACTTGGCACGGCCGGGGCGGGCGGCGGCTGCGTCCGGGTCGTTGGAGAGGGAGGCGAGACGAGCGGTGCAGGGCGGTGCACTGCCAAGGCGGGCGGGCAGGCTGACTCGCACGCAGCCCGCCCGGGTCGCACTGCATATGAATGCGAATGTGGATGTGAATGTGGATGTGAATGCGGTCCTGTGCGAGTGCGTGTCGTGAGTGTGCACGCCCGCAATAATACACACCGAGCATGGTGCTGCAATTCGGGCGGGGCTGATTCGGACATGCTTCCTTTTTTTTTTTTTTAGCGGAGCTCTGTCCGCGGGAGAGCTTTGGTGCTGCCTACCAGACGCTCTGCAGGCGCTCGCCACGCGACGCGTACCTTTTCGGCCCAGTGTTGCCACACTAGTGGGCTGCCCGCTATGTTGACAGCATCGCCTAATTTTTCTGTGTTGCGTCGCAAATTTTCGGCCAGCTTTGTGGCAGCACTGTTCGGGCTTCTAGCATCAAGATTTCCGTTCATGATAAAGTCTAAACCGAGGTGTCGGTGAAGTCAGGTCTGCCAAAAGGTACCGTGACTTGTAGGGTGGCCAAAAAAAAAATTCCCACAATACAACACGTGGTGTGCCCTTTCCTAGAAGGGGGCCCGTAGGACCTCCACGAGGGTGGGGACGGCCTATGCCTTATTCAATCCCCCTCAGCTGTCGGGACGACAGAAGTTTTTGTTGTGATGGACAGCTTTGTGTTTTATAATGTATACAAGGCGTAGCGCGCGGCACCGCGGCGAGGCTTTTATACACTCGCCTTCCCGTCGTCGCCCCGCCACGCCCGGGGCTGCCGGCCCGCGAAAATAAGGGGTTCGGAGGATTTCCCGAAGCTGCCGTCCAGTAAGTGTCGCCGCGTTTTGTCTGCCATGTTGGCCGGACTGTCCGACAACAGGAGGCTCGACCGAGGGGTCGACTCACACTGGAAAAGTGCAGTGACAGAGGTGCACAGTGGTTCAGAATACCGCAGGAGGCCAAAACGCTCAGAGTCGCTAAATGGGACTCTAACCGAACGTGTGACCCCACCAATGGATTCCTCGTTCGGAGAGCAATCCATTGGTGGGCTCACACGTTTGGGTCGAGTCATTTTTGCCTACTAGTGTGTCAGCGCTGGCCCGGCGCGCGTGCTGGGCGCCTGCGAACCGTCGGGTAGGCAACGCCAACACTCTCCAGCCGGCCGGGTTGCCTTCGCGCCGGGCGGACAGAGCGCCTGCCGGGTAGGCAGCGCCAGCGCCCCGTAGCCGGCTGGGTTGCCTACGCGCTGGGCGGACAAGGCCACCTTTCCACGCAGCTTCTTCGGATTACGCCATTCCTTTGTGGGGGCGGGACGGGGCGGGACCAGGCGGGACCGCGTGGACCCACGAAGAAAACGAATGGCGCGGCAGATTTCTGCTTCATGCTGGTGTCATGTGGGGTTGCACGCGACGCGCCCCGCCCCGCCCCACCCCGCCCCGCTCAGCCAGCAGCGGGTCCAGCCCTTGTCCAGCCCGCCTTGATTTATCAGGGGAGGGGGGAACCCCTTGGCGGATCCTGTCGCGAGGCTAGGCGAGGCTCCCAACTTGGGTGATTGTTCATATTTGTATGTCGATAACTTCCCGTATAAATCCCGCTCCTGGCGTGGCGGGGCGTGGCGGGGCGCGGCGGCCGAGACCGGAGCGTCGATCGGGACACACCTCCGGGGCCGCCACCTCCGAGGAGGATTTACCCAGTTCTGGCTGCCCCGAGGCCGCGGCCTTTCAAATTACACCGTTGTCTGCGCCCCAAAGTGCGGCCGGGGCAATGTTGTCGCAAATCGTTTCCCCGTCTGACCTCAGCAATGGATTCCTGTTCGTACGGGGACTTTATTGGTACCCTCATGAGTCCGATGCGAGTCTCATTTGTGGCCTCCAGCGCTCAAAACGCGCCTTAAATCGCCCCCTCCCAAACTGGAGCCTCATCCGAGGGCCACAGGCGCCGACTCATTTTCCCTCCCCGATTTCGGGCCAATCTTTTATTTGGCGCTTCCGAGCGGCGGCTCCCGGGCGCCGGTGTTTACTGCTGTGCGGGGGGTCCGTCCGAGTGCCGTCCGCAAGTTGGAGAGTCCGATCATCGTATCGCGTCGTATCGCTGGACTCCAGCACTGGACTCCGGCACTGGACTCCAGCCTGGAATGAGATCCCCCTACCCCGGATTGCGGACAGCGGGCCGGCCGGGCCTGGCGGGCCGGGCGCGCTGTCGGTTGCGTGTCCGATCTGTTCGATCGCAACTTTAGCACTTGAGTTTACTACCGGCCTGCGGCGCTGGCGGCTCCAGCGGCCCAGCCCGCCTGGAGTGACCTGGAGCCTGGAGCCGGGTGGGGCCTCATCCTCCCTGCGGGTGACGCTGATGACGCCATCATAAACCGTCCTGTCAGAAATATTTTTGGGGAACCCTGCCTGTAATTTGTGCGTGTCTTCATTTTGCTGTTATTTGTTTTGTTTTGTCTCGTAGGGGAGCTTTCTGGTTCATTTGTTGCCGTGCGCTCGTCACCGCGGCCCGGGCAATTCTATTTCCCCTCGGCAAGAAAACAGTGGGACTCACGGCACCGTAATACTGTCTCTCCGTCGAGTTGAGGAGTGTTGCCCTCAAAGGGTTCATTTGCGCCAAGTTTTTCCGGTGCCCTTGCTCGCGCTGCTTGCCGCGGACTGATTCCGAGAGTCGGTTTGAGAGGCTCTGTCTCTCTCGCGTTCGTGGGCGGTGTCCCGTGTGGGTGCGAGAGAGACAGAGCGACGACGATGACTCTCGGAATCAGTCTGCTGGTACAGCGCGTCGAGCAGCGCGCGGTATGGCGGTTCAGCACGCGAAGGGCCCCGAAGTGCCGCGGGCCCTGCCACGGCCCTGCAGACCGATGCCGAGAGTCGCCTTCGTCGCTCTGTCTCTCTCGCACCCACACGGGGCGCCCCATGAGAGCGGGAGAGACAGAGCGACGGAAACGACTCTCGGAATCAGCCCGCTGCGCGGCAAAGGGAAGACCGCCGGCGTCTTGCGGTCGGATTGTCAGAGGGAGGCAAGCCCGGCAAGCTGGACCAACCAGCGGGGAGGAACGCAGCGGCTCGATCAAACTATTTGAGCAAGAGAGACAGTCGTCAACATCAGAGTGGCACAACCAGTCATTTTTATTTGCCGAAAATTTTCGAAATTTTGCTTGAATGGAAACTCCTTTATTTTTCGCCGTTTTGATCGACCAACTTTCTAGTAGTAACTGTTTCTAAAGACAGCCGGCTGATCGTATACCCTAACAAGGGCTTGCTAGAGAAAGGTTCTAAGTCCACCGCCCGTTGAGAGAGTATCATCAGCCAGCTTGACTTGGACGCCGTAGCCTCCCAAAGCCAGACTTGATCACGGTTTCTCTAAATTTGCCACCGTTTTGGCAATACTGCTCCCTCGAGCCGGCTTGCAAACCTGGGAGCTGGGAGTATTCCCACCCGCGGCGGGCGATACTCCACGCCTGCCGCCGGCGGGGCGGTCGGTGGCGCCACCCCGCGGCAGAATGGCGCACCGAGTCTCTCCAGCGCGCGGGGTATTCCGGCCGGACGTGGGGGGAATTCAGCTGAGCTGGGCGGCAAACGAGGTCTAACAGCTGGGTCAGGTGTTTCAATATTTTAATTCACTGGTCACTGGTAACACTCCACACACTTCACAAAAAATCTATCCCAATAAATAACAAAAACATAAATAACAATGACATGGCAAAAATTGGCAGGTATGGCGCAGATCACATGAGGAAGAACTCGGGTCCGACGAAGCTGCCGCACTTGGGGAAGTCGGCGGGGATCGGGGGCAAGTCACTCTCCTCGCCCACCTGCAGGATGACCCCCAGGCCGGACGGCCACTGGAAGAAAGATTGCTCGCGGAGGAGCCAATAGCCTGCAACCGTCATTAGAAACATGTCAGTGGCGTGGTCTTTATATCAGCGAGTGCGGCGCGCGATGCACAGTGGGCCAGAAGACCGGTGGAGCGGCCAAAAGTCGAGACGCGTCTTAAGCTCCAGAGTCGCTAAACAGGACTCGAAGCGAACGTGTGACCCCACCAATGGATTCCTCGTGCGGAAAGCAATCCATTGGTAGGGTCACACGTTCGGTTCGAGTCCCATTTAGCGACTCTGGAGCTCAAAACGCGTCTAGAATTTTGGCCGCTCCACCGGTCTTCTGGCCCACTGTGCGCGCGGCGGTACGAGGCGGCAATGACCGAGTTCCATTCACCCCAAAAACCTCGACGGCCACGCGCGTTCGTGTGTGTGCGTGAGCGTGCGTGTGACACCGGTCTGCCCCGCGGCCATCGTCCGCCACTTCTCGCCTCGATTCCGAGTACTGTACCAACGAACCGCCACCGCAACTTGCAGTGCAGCCACCTACCGGGGTTGTCGGCGACGAACCGTAGGGCGACGGCCCCGAGCGCGGGCACGGCGACGGTGTCCTTGAGCACGGCGCGGTGCAGGTGTCGTCGCAGCAGGCCGCCCTGGCGGTCGGCAGCGGCCAGCGCCTCCCAGGAACCGCGCTCCAGCTGCGCCGTCGACGGCGTCCTGGACTCGGCGCCGCGCCCCACCAGCCAGAAGCTGTAGCCGTGCAGCTGGAAGACGTGGGCCTTGTGGTGGTCGCCGCCTGCGGAAGGGGCGGTTAGAACTCGACGAGGACGGTAGAAGACCAGTGGGGGCGGCCAAAACTCTGGATGCGTTTTGAGCTCCAGAGTCGCTAAACAGGACTCGAACCGAACGTGTGACCCCACCAAAGGATTGCTCTCCGAACGAGGAATCCATTGGTGGGGTCACACGTTTGGTTCGAGAGCTTAGCGACTCTGGAGCTCAAAACGCGTCTAGAGTTTCGGCGGCTGAGCAAACTGCACCAGAATGACACTGACCCTGATCGGCGAGGACCAGCTCCACCGTGCTGCCCAGCGGCACCTTGATGACGTGCGCGCACTCGCAGGAGTGGTCCTCCCGGCCGTGGAGGTGCGACGGGCAGGTGGCAGGCCGGCCGAGGCCCCGGCAGACCGCCACGCCGCCCTCGCCGTCGTAGGCCTCGGCGTCGCGGGGCTGCGTCAGCAAGGGCGCGGCCGGCAGCGACAGGGAGATGTTGCAGACGCGCGGCACGGCGCGCGGCCACGGCGTGTCCGGCAGCCCCATCGGCAGGCGGGTCTTGCCTGCAGCAGGGAGGCAAGCGTTAGCACTGCAACGGTTTGGATGACGGCGTAGTTGATGCGACGACTTACCCGCTTTGTTGTGCGGCTGCGGCCCCCTGAGATCGCTGCGAAGCCCCACGCCGGGCACGAAGTCGAAGGGCAGGTACAGGCGCACGTCCACCTCCCCCTTGGCGAGCTGCTCCGGCATCGCCACCAAGCTCTCCAGCTCGGCGCCCTCCAGGACGTCCGCCACGCTCACGTCGGGTGCGTCCGGCGCCGGGGTGGACGCCGCCTGGACGCCGGGCTTCTTGTCGACCTCCTTGAACGGCAGCGTGACCACGGCGTCGGCCAGCTTGACGCCCTCGGCGTGCACGGCGAGGACGAAGGCCGCGGAGGACGACGGCGGCTGGTCGGCGCTGAGCACGGCGTCGACGCGCTCCCCGGGCCACAGTGTGAGCGCGCGCGTGCTGCGGGGGCGGACGGGGTGGCCGTCGACGGCGATGGCCAGCAGCGGCAGCCCCGCCACGGACAGCGTCACGGGGCCCGTCGCCACGCCGGGCATCCCCGGCTCGGCGTCGGTCGCGCTATCCGCGGCGCCGCCGGCGTGCAGCAGCCGCAGGCGGTAGCGCCGGCCGCGGACCAGTGGCGCCACCTACAGCAGGGCGGAGGAACTTACAAGCAGGCCAAAGCTGGACCCTCCCGTGAGAGCGGCCGAGACAGAGCGATGAAACGACTCTTCTGAATCGCTGCTCGGCAGCAGCGGACTGGTTGTTGAGGCTTACCTGCAGCTCGCTGTGGCCGTTGACCAGCACGGCCTTGCCGAGGGCGGACATGGTCAGGACGTGCACGTCCTCGTCGTAGAGCTGGCGGTGCGGGTCCCGGTTGTCGGGCTGCTGCACCACCAGCGGCCCGAACACCGAGGCCGCGGCCCGCGGGGACCCCGCGGCGGCCCAGAGGTGCGTCCCGGCGCCCACGGCGCGGAACTTGTACTGGAAGGTGGTGTGCGTGTTGATGGGGCACTGCGTCAGCTGCGGCACGCCGTCCATGTAGGGGAACTCGCGCTGGCTCTGGCCGCCCCAGTGCACGCCCATGGCCTGGCCCATGGCCCGGTTCACCACGTCCACCACCACGATGTCATTCTCGCACACCTTGAGGGTGGGCCCGGGCAGCATCCGGTTGGCGGTCATGACGCCGCGCGCGCTCATGTCGCCCGAGACGCACTGCGCGGCGTGACAGTGCGTGGCGTTGGCGGGGCACTGGCCGCACGCGCCGCTCATGGCCTGGTAGGTCTCGATGCTCATCTTGTAGCGGCAGATCATGGGCCAGGCCAGCTCGTGGCAGGGCCGGTCGCAAGACGCGTAGTACGGGTCTAGAACAGAGCAGTCGTCGCAGGGACGTCTCACGAATTGATCCAGTCACACTCAGCTTCGAATCGCTTGGAACACACTACACTCTTCTAGCACTTGGTTAGTCCGACCCCGATAAACCCTGCGAATTTCCAAGTTCGGAGTTTGAAACTGCGACGCGAGTGCACGCGCGACAGGCGGGAATCGAACCCGCGACTCACCGGGCAGGGGGGTGCACCACAAAACGAAAGCCACCAGGAGAAGCAGACAGGGAAGCAGCGCCCAGCGCGCCAGTCTAGTGACCTGGTTCAGCGGCCGGCCCGCCAGACGACATTTGCACATGGGCACTGGGCCGCCCCCGCCGTCCGCCGCCGCCCCCAGCAGGGCGGGCATGCTCAGGCCGCGGGGGCGGCGCACGGCGACAGCAGGGGGCGCGGCGCGGTGGGGGCGGCGGGGGCGGGCAACGGGGGCGGCGCGCCCCAAGCTCGACGCAGGCCGTAGAGAAACAAGTGCAGGGCGAAGCCTGCCACCAGCACCAGCTCCAGCGACATCGGCGTCCTGGGCCTCGTCGTGATCCTCGTCGGCGACTACCGCGGCCCTCGTGGTTTCGCGCCAACTGCTTGGCGGTTGTCGGAGTGTCAACTGAACGAACGCACCTCCGCGCCGGGGCTGCCGCTGCACTGCGGTTACCTCATCGGCCCCCTCCGCCACCCGCCCCGCCCGCCCCCGGCCCGTCTACGGCGAGCCCCGCCAGCCCCGCCAGCGCCCCGCGGTCCATGGAGCCCCCGCGGCCCCGCGGCGCCCCGCGGCTGTCGGGGTGGCATGACGCAACGCCAGCCGGGGAAGGACCAGGGACTCGGCGGGGAGGACGCCGCCGGGGAGGGTATGGCGGCGCCCTGACGCAACGCAACCGCCATTGTTGCCCACCACCCGCCGGCGACGGCACGCCGCACGGGCCGCACGCCGTCGAAAGCCAGGGCCTGTTCGCCACCGGACTAACCATGGACAGTGACAGTGGACTGTCACATAACGGGGCACACGTGAATTTCCAGCATGACAGTGTACCATAGACCAGACAGGTAGGCGAAAACTCCCGCACCAGAGCCGAAAGGGTTGCCTACCTCAGCCTGCTTCGGCAACTTCTCCCGCCAATTCTCTGTTCGGCAGGCTGAGGTAGGCCACTCTTTCGACACAACGAGGGAGCCCATTCAATTTTTAATTTTCGTGACTTTTCGAACCACGATTACGGTCCCGATCACACCATGTTGCTCCGAGTTGCACTCAATGTCGAGCAACTGCACGGCACGCCTCGGCACGCCTAGCGACAGCCCGCGAGGTGCATTTACCGGCCGAGTGCACCGAGCCAGCGCCCCTCCTCCCCTCCCCTCCCCTTCCCCGAGTCGCTCCGCGGTCCGCATCAGAGCAATCTGCGCCGCGGTGACGACGCCCTCGCTCTGTCTCTCTCGCACGCGTGGCGGCGTGGGCTGGCGCGTAGGGGTGCGAGAGAGACAGCGAGAGAGGCGCGTGGCGGCGGGCGATGCCGTTTTTGCTGACGCACTCACAGTGTCGCGCGAAATGGAGACCGACCCCCGGGGCCTCGGAGCGCTCGGAGCACGCTGGGAGCGCATCACGGAGGATGACCGGATGACGCGATTCGGGGAACGGAAATGGCTCTCGAATCTCAAACCGTCTTTGGTCGCCCTGTTTTGAACCAGCTTCCGTCACTGTTAAAAATAAAGTGGGAGATCCTGGGCCCCGGGCCGAGTTCGGCTAAGTTCGGCGGGGCCGGGGCCGACTTGACTCTGACGAAGATGGAGCTCTGACGCGGTGTCCGATGAATTTCAAAATTTGGACGAAAAAAGAGCCAGCCTCGTCGCGGTGGGGCACCACCCGACATTGACCGAACTCCGCAAAGTCAGTTTGGCCGCGCGGCGCGGCGGCGGCGCGCTGCACGCGGAAGGGGCGCTGCACTCGCGGTCCGCGGCTCCGCGGTCGGCGGCTCGACAGTCCGCGGTTTTCTGTTTTCGGGCGTCGCGAGGCCGAATAATGCTACGGCGAACGCGTGTGTTTGTTGTTTTACGCGCGCTGCGCCGCGCTGCGCCGCGCGTTCGTTCCTCTCGCAGTTCGGCCTCGCCGTGAGTCAGTCCCGCCGATCAAAGGGCGAAGGGCGGTGCTTTGGGAGCCAGTGGGAGCCAGTCGATCAGTCGGCCAGCCGAGGCCCCTGCCTCTCTCTCGCACTCACGAGGCCACAGCGGAAGCAGCCTGTCTCGGTCTCTGTCGCGCACCACCGCACAGTGGGCCAGAAGACCGGTGGAGGCGGCCAAAATTCTAGAAGCGTTTTGAGCTCCAGAGTGGCTAAACAGGCCTCGAACCGAACGTGTGACCCCACCAATGGATTCCTCGTTCGGAGAGCAATCCATTGGTGGGGTCACACATTCGTTTCGAGTCCCATTAGCGTTTCCACAGCCCAAAATGCGTCTAGAGTTTTGACCGCCTCCACCGGCCACCTGGCTGCCACACTGTGCACCGTTGCACCGCGTTTCGCCGCCCGCGCGTTGCGACGCTGCAACCCGCCTGATGGCCCTTCCGTGCCCGTCATCGTCCTTAAACACTTTCACCGGCTTCGCGACGTCGCGCTGAGTCAGGCCTCCGCCATCATAACCTCCAGGAGAGGCGGCGGGATGGCGACGACGCGCAGGTGCCTTCTAGCGCCTTGCCCGCCTTGCCATGAGCCGCCGCCAGTCGCCAGCGGCTCGCGGTGCCCACCGATTCGCCGTCGCGCTGTCTCTCTCGCACCCGTATGGAGCGCCCCGTGCGTGCGAGAGAGACAGCACCTGGTTTACGACGACGTCCTACTCCTATTGACGCCGAGGGACGTGCTGCACAGTGTGCTGCACGCTGGGCGTACTTTCACCGAGGCCGCGGGCGCCAAGACGCTTCGCCGGCTTTGCCACTCGGACAATGACCACGTCGCCGTGGTCGAGCGGACCGATTCCGCGCGGCAGTCTTCCCGTCTCACTCTCACTCATGGAGTCCCCCGGTTGGGAGCGAGAGAGACAGAAATGAGCGCGCGGTGGCGCACAGTGGGCCAGAAGACCGGCGGAGGCGGCCAAAACTCTTGATGTGTTTTGAGCTCCAGAGTCGCTCAACAGGCCTCGAACCGAACGTGCGACCTCACCAATGTATTCCTCGTTCGGAGAGCAATCCATTGGTGGGGTCACACGTTCGGTTCGAGTCCTGTTTAGCGACTCTGGAGCTCAGAACGCGTCTAGAGTTTTGGCCGCCCCCACCGGTCTTCTAGCCCACTGTGCGCCGCCCCGTCGTCGTCCACTCCACCGCGAAAGGAAAACAAACGGCTGCCGACGGCGGGGGGATTCGAGCCCGGCACTCACTCGGGACAGGTGTCAAGTAGATGATGGTGGTGACCACGGAGGCGAGCCCCACCAGGATGAAGGCGCGCAGCAGCATGGCGCCGCCGCCCGAGCAGTTGCACGACATGGCGGCTGCAAAGACAACAAAAGAATGAGCATTCGCGTTCAAAACAAGACCGCTTAAAAATTATTTCAAGCATTTCCAGGTGCGAAACGAATCTAGTTCAGCCAGTTCAGCACGAGTCCGTTTACAGCTACATGCACCGGTGCCAGAAACTTCAGCGGGACTCTTGCCGTCCAGCATCAGACAAGACATTTTGCACTCGTGCCCAAAAATTGTCCACGCCAAAGATTCCCCGTGTGTCCTAGCTACTCATGATCACACGTGAATCAAGGTAAAAATTGTGCAGTGCACCCATCAGCCACCCACACGGAAAAAGGGAAGACCTATCAACGCGACGATTTTCATCTGAACCCACAAAGCAAGTAAGATTACCCGTGGCCGCTGCAGTAATTCACGAAATTCTCACAACGGCCAGCCGACTTCGCTTTCACTGGCATAAATTAATTGTTAGTCGCGGGCGTGGCATTGAGCCTCGAGAATATTATCTCACTCAAGTGTCCAACCAGAAAAACGAAAACTGTTTTCGAACTCACCACCAGAGTGATGTCTTGCTCCAGGTACGATGGGGGCTCTTCCCCTAGGTCACGCGCGGGCCGGTGGCGTCCGAGTCCAAGCGATGCACTGTGTGGATAGCCAACTACTCCACTGCGGCAGCATGGGTGGTCCCGCGGTTCCGGGCGCCGCCGTCATCAGAGGCGTCAGGGGCGTCGCACCCGCACCCACAACAAGCAGCACCTTGGCCTTGAGCGCGGTCGGTCGGCGTCGTCTGCGGGCCGCCGACTTGTCTTGAGCGCCGCCAAGTCGAAGCCCAGCCAGCGCCGCGCCGCGCCGGCCGGAGTGCCTTGCGGTGTGGGGGCTTCCCTCCCTCCTCCCCGCCCTGACACTTCAAACGTGGCGCCGCACGGTGTCACGCAGTTTCTCATACCGCGTGGTTACTTTTAAGCTCGGATATTTCGTTCAAGATTTTGCGTTTCAAGTTCACTTGGAAAACACGAACAACAGGACAGTAAAACATTTCTAACGTCCTAATGAACGCACGTGCTGACTTTGAGAGTACATCTCTAAAACAATTCGAGCTCAGGCCGAGTGAGGACGAAACCACTGTCGCAATCTCCGCGCTTTTTGCAAGTTTTGGCAAGAACTCCATGATCATGAAAGGAAGTCCTACTTCACAGATCAATTGATTCACAAAATGTCACGAGGAAGTCATATAGACTCCCTCAAGGGCTCAAGC